ACGACGCGTCGGTCGCCGAGTGTTCTCGTCGCGCGGAAAAAAACTGAAATGGTCGCGACGACTCGGAGCTCAGAATTTCCAGAGAGCGTAAGGTGCTATACTTTGGCCATAAGGTGCTATACTTTGCAATAAGGTGCTATACTTTGCCTGAAGCTTCGAAATTGGGCGAGGACCGGCCGACGCGGCGGATGATCGGCCTATTACGACGACGCGTCGGTCGCCGAGTGTTCTCGTCGCGCGGAAAAAAACTGAAATGGTCGCGACGACTCGGAGCTCAGAATTTCCAGAGAGCGTAAGGTGCTATACTTTGGCCATAAGGTGCTATACTTTGCAATAAGGTGCTATACTTTGCCTGAAGCTTCGAAATTGGGCGAGGACCGGCCGACGCGGCGGATGATCGGCCTATTACGACGACGCGTCGGTCGCCGAGTGTTCTCGTCGCGCGGAAAAAAACTGAAATGGTCGCGACGACTCGGAGCTCAGAATTTCCAGAGAGCGTAAGGTGCTATACTTTGGCCATAAGGTGCTATACTTTGCAATAAGGTGCTATACTTTGCCTGAAGCTTCGAAATTGGGCGAGGACCGGCCGACGCGGCGGATGATCGGCCTATTACGACGACGCGTCGGTCGCCGAGTGTTCTCGTCGCGCGGAAAAAAACTGAAATGGTCGCGACGACTCGGAGCTCAGAATTTCCAGAGAGCGTAAGGTGCTATACTTTGGCCATAAGGTGCTATACTTTGCAATAAGGTGCTATACTTTGCCTGAAGCTTCGAAATTGGGCGAGGACCGGCCGACGCGGCGGATGATCGGCCTATTACGACGACGCGTCGGTCGCCGAGTGTTCTCGTCGCGCGGAAAAAAACTGAAATGGTCGCGACGACTCGGAGCTCAGAATTTCCAGAGAGCGTAAGGTGCTATACTTTGGCCATAAGGTGCTATACTTTGCAATAAGGTGCTATACTTTGCCTGAAGCTTCGAAATTGGGCGAGGACCGGCCGACGCGGCGGATGATCGGCCTATTACGACGACGCGTCGGTCGCCGAGTGTTCTCGTCGCGCGGAAAAAAACTGAAATGGTCGCGACGACTCGGAGCTCAGAATTTCCAGAGAGCGTAAGGTGCTATACTTTGGCCATAAGGTGCTATACTTTGCAATAAGGTGCTATACTTTGCCTGAAGCTTCGAAATTGGGCGAGGACCGGCCGACGCGGCGGATGATCGGCCTATTACGACGACGCGTCGGTCGCCGAGTGTTCTCGTCGCGCGGAAAAAAACTGAAATGGTCGCGACGACTCGGAGCTCAGAATTTCCAGAGAGCGTAAGGTGCTATACTTTGGCCATAAGGTGCTATACTTTGCAATAAGGTGCTATACTTTGCCTGAAGCTTCGAAATTGGGCGAGGACCGGCCGACGCGGCGGATGATCGGCCTATTACGACGACGCGTCGGTCGCCGAGTGTTCTCGTCGCGCGGAAAAAAACTGAAATGGTCGCGACGACTCGGAGCTCAGAATTTCCAGAGAGCGTAAGGTGCTATACTTTGGCCATAAGGTGCTATACTTTGCAATAAGGTGCTATACTTTGCCTGAAGCTTCGAAATTGGGCGAGGACCGGCCGACGCGGCGGATGATCGGCCTATTACGACGACGCGTCGGTCGCCGAGTGTTCTCGTCGCGCGGAAAAAAACTGAAATGGTCGCGACGACTCGGAGCTCAGAATTTCCAGAGAGCGTAAGGTGCTATACTTTGGCCATAAGGTGCTATACTTTGCAATAAGGTGCTATACTTTGCCTGAAGCTTCGAAATTGGGCGAGGACCGGCCGACGCGGCGGATGATCGGCCTATTACGACGACGCGTCGGTCGCCGAGTGTTCTCGTCGCGCGGAAAAAAACTGAAATGGTCGCGACGACTCGGAGCTCAGAATTTCCAGAGAGCGTAAGGTGCTATACTTTGGCCATAAGGTGCTATACTTTGCAATAAGGTGCTATACTTTGCCTGAAGCTTCGAAATTGGGCGAGGACCGGCCGACGCGGCGGATGATCGGCCTATTACGACGACGCGTCGGTCGCCGAGTGTTCTCGTCGCGCGGAAAAAAACTGAAATGGTCGCGACGACTCGGAGCTCAGAATTTCCAGAGAGCGTAAGGTGCTATACTTTGGCCATAAGGTGCTATACTTTGCAATAAGGTGCTATACTTTGCCTGAAGCTTCGAAATTGGGCGAGGACCGGCCGACGCGGCGGATGATCGGCCTATTACGACGACGCGTCGGTCGCCGAGTGTTCTCGTCGCGCGGAAAAAAACTGAAATTGTCGCGACGACTCGGAGCTCAGAATTTCCAGAGAGCGTAAGGTGCTATACTTTGGCCATAAGGTGCTATACTTTGCAATAAGGTGCTATACTTTGCCTGAAGCTTCGAAATTGGGCGAGGACCGGCCGACGCGGCGGATGATCGGCCTATTACGACGACGCGTCGGTCGCCGAGTGTTCTCGTCGCGCGGAAAAAAACTGAAATTGTCGCGACGACTCGGAGCTCAGAATTTCCAGAGAGCGTAAGGTGCTATACTTTGGCCATAAGGTGCTATACTTTGCAATAAGGTGCTATACTTTGCCTGAAGCTTCGAAATTGGGCGAGGACCGGCCGACGCGGCGGATGATCGGCCTATTACGACGACGCGTCGGTCGCCGAGTGTTCTCGTCGCGCGGAAAAAAACTGAAATTGTCGCGACGACTCGGAGCTCAGAATTTCCAGAGAGCGTAAGGTGCTATACTTTGGTCATAAGGTGCTATACTTTGCAACAAGGTGCTATACTTTGGCCATAAGGTGCTATACTTTGCAATAAGGTGCTATACTTTGCCTGAAGCTTCGAAATTGGGCGAGGACCGGCCGACGCGGCGGATGATCGGCCTATTACGACGACGCGTCGGTCGCCGAGTGTTCTCGTCGCGTGGAAAAAAACTGAAATGGTCGCGACGACTCGGAGCTCAGAATTTCCAGAGAGCGTAAGGTGCTATACTTTGGCCATAAGGTGCTATACTTTGCAATAAGGTGCTATACTTTGCCTGAAGCTTCGAAATTGGGCGAGGACCGGCCGACGCGGCGGATGATCGGCCTATTACGACGACGCGTCGGTCGCCGAGTGTTCTCGTCGCGCGGAAAAAAACTGAAATGGTCGCGACGACTCGGAGCTCAGAATTTCCAGAGAGCGTAAGGTGCTATACTTTGGCCATAAGGTGCTATACTTTGCAATAAGGTGCTATACTTTGACTGAAGCTTCGAAATTGGTCGAGGACCGGCCGACGCGGCGGATGATCGGCCTATTACGACGACGCGTCGGTCGCCGAGTGTTCTCGTCGCGCGGAAAAAAACTGAAATGGTCGCGACGACTCGGAGCTCAGAATTTCCAGAGAGCGTAAGGTGCTATACTTTGGCCATAAGGTGCTATACTTTGCAATAAGGTGCTATACTTTGCCTGAAGCTTCGAAATTGGGCAAGGACCGGCCGACGCGGCGGATGATCGGCCTATTACGACGACGCGTCGGTCGCCGAGTGTTCTCGTCGCGCGGAAAAAAACTGAAATGGTCGCGACGACTCGGAGCTCAGAATTTCCAGAGCGTAAGGTGCTATACTTTGGCCATAAGGTGCTATACTTTTGCCATAAGGTGCTATACTTTACAATAATGTGCTATATTTTGGCCATAAGGTGCTATACTTTGTAATAAGGTGCTATACTTTGGCCATAAGGTGCTATACTTTGCAACAAGGTGCTATACTTTGGCCATAAGGTGCTATACTTTGCAACAAGGTGCTATACTTTGGCCATAAGGTGCTATACTTTGCAATAAGGTGCTATACTTTGCCTGAAGCTTCGAAATTGGTCGAGGACCGGCCGACGCGGCGGATGATCGGCCTATTACGACGACGCGTCGGTCGCCGAGTGTTCTCGTCGTGTGGATAAAAACTGAAATGGTCGCGACGACTCGGAGCTCAGAATTCCAGAGAGCGTAAGGTGCTATACTTTGGCCATAAGGTGCTATACTTTGGCCATATGGTGCTATACTTTGTAATAAGGTGCTATACTTTGGCTTTTCTCGCCGCGGGGAAAAAAACTGAAATGGTTCGCGACGACTCGGAGCTCAGAATTTCCAGAGAGCGTAAGGTGCTATACTTTGGCCATAAGGTGCTATACTTTGGCCATATGGTGCTATACTTTGTAATAAGGTGCTATACTTTGGCTATAATGTGCTATACTATGCATTAAGGTGCTATACTTTGACTGAAGCTTCGAAATTGGTCGAGGACCCGACGCGGCGGATGATCGGCCTATTACGACGACGCGTCGGTCGCCGAGTGTTCTCGCCGCGGGGAAAAAAACTGAAATGGTTCGCGACGACTCGGAGCTCAGAATTTCCAGAGAGCGTAAGGTGCTATACTTTGGCCATAAGGTGCTATACTTTGCAATAAGGTGCTATACTTTGCCTGAAGCTTCGAAATTGGGCGAGGACCGGCCGACGCGGCGGATGATCGGCCTATTACGACGACGCGTCGGTCGCCGAGTGTTCTCGCCGCGGGGAAAAAAACCGAAATGGTTCGCGACAACTCGGAGCTCAGAATACTCGATTTCGGATTTTTTTCTCCGCGACAGAACACTCGATTTCGGTTTTTTTCAGTTTTTTTCTCCGCGACAGAACACTCGATTTCGGATACACAAGCTAATTAAAGTAGTTACACCACAACACAAATAGATATAACAATAAAACTAACTGAAATAACATTAAAACTACTGAAGTAATTACACAAAAGTTACAATAATCAAAATAGTTTGTTTTTTGATCTTCACCACCAAAACATAATCAACCCATAATAACTGAAGTAGTTACACAAAATTTACAATAATCAAAATAGTTTGTTTTTTGATCTTCACCACCAAAACGTAATCAACCTATAATAGGTCCATGAAGATCACAATCAAACTGATTTGAAAATATTCAAAAGCATGATATTTCAATCAGCTATTGGTTGGTTACATGTTCGTCGATTGTGACCGAACTCCTTACATCGGCTACACTTCAACATTCTAGAAGGATTTAGTCCAGAAGGGATCCGCTTTGTTTTTGGCCTTCCTCTACGAATCGAGGTTAATGGAGGTCTAATCTCCATATTCTCATCCGTTATAATTGGCTTCTCATCATCAGGAATTGGATATATGGGAAAGGAGTAACACTTGCGGTACACCTCCGTGCTGAAATAGTCAGAAATATATGGATACAATAGCTGATCTTTGTGCCTGATTACGGCGGCCGCATGCTTGCAAGGTAGTCCAAGAACTTGCCATTGGTGACAAATACATGTGTGGTACTCCAAATTCACTCTAACAGATGGGGAATCATATACTTCATACAGAATCGACGTAGAAGGATTAACATGAAGACAACGTGCACCCTCGTTGATCAGGACAAGATGCTCCTCTACACTAGGAACAAGTGGTGTAGTCCATTTGTTGGATTCCTCACGTCTATCGTAGCTCATTTTCATCATCTTCACCCGGATGTGATCAACCAACTGCGCTATCGGTAAAAATCGGGCTTCCTTAATCCATGCGTTGAAGAACTCGGCTAGATTTAAGGTTAACCACCCATGCCTGCAACCATGTTATAGCTATAGGATTATTCAAATGTTATACATGTTCAAACACACATATCAGAGAGTTCAATCACAAAGACCAAAAATATGTAAAAATGGTGACCTCTTTCCAGGAAAATAACAATTAGCCCAGTTTTGTGGGCTCATATTCAACATTTCAATATTCAGCATTTCAATGAAAGCAACAGATGACTTATTAGCTCGTTGCATTCATGTTGATAAGCATGCATTGTGTAGGCATATGCATCTCTCTTCATAATATGAACACAGTCATCCCTAAGTGGCGTTGGTAACCCTTTCTTTGACAAGTTGTTCTTATAATTGGTCATAAAATGGCGGATGCAATAACTGTGATATGAACAAGGGAAGCAATTCTTGACGGAATTTTGAAGTCCTTTGTCTCGATCAGAGATTATAACCAGCTCATCATTCGGAGTATATGGATCATCTGAATTGTACAATACGTCACGAATGCATTCAAGGAACCACTCCCAATTGCTCTCATTCTCGGTTCCACAAATACAAAGAGCGACAGGAAACATTCCTCCATCTCCATTCAAAGCAGTAGCAGCAAGTAGAGTTCCCTTGTACCTATCAAAAAGATGGGTGCCATCCAAGAATAAAATTGGTCTACATCCCTCGACAAAACCCTTCCAACAAGCATAATATGAGATAAAAAATCTAGTAAATCTGCCATCTTCATGTTCTAGATGGACGATTGATCCTGGGTTAGTTTCCATAACTTTATCCTTGTACCATCTAAGTTGTTCATATGAATGTTTTGCATACCCATATAACTCCTGTTGAGCAAGCTCTTTCCCACACCAAGCTCTTCCATAGGGGATATCAACGCCAAACTCTCTCAGAAGCTTCTTTTTAAGATCAATTGCGCGGTAGGTGGGTTGTTCTTTTAGTATGGATTTCACAATATTTGCAACCCACTTACGAGATGCCCGTGGATGTCCCTTCTCTCCTATGCCTCCTCCGAGACAACTATGTGCACGACCAATTTTCTTCACGTAAAACCGTTTGCAGTCTGTACGATGGTTACAATGGACCATCCATTCACAATCAGCACCTTTGCATTTTACTATCAATCGTCTAGGTTCATTTTTCAAATAAGCAAAGTTAAAACCGAGAGCAATTGAGTAATTTCCAAGACTTTGCCTTAGATGTTCAACATCATTAAATTCTTGTCCGACACTTCTAATGGCATGATACCATGAAATAGGAATCTGAATACTAGATCTCTCAACTTCACGTAATGCATTTTGTGAATTGGATGGATTATGCGTCGAGGATGCATGTTGTTCCGAAAGAGATATGGTAGGATTCCTGCAAACATAAAGCAGTTACCTTATAAGACTAGCAATTAGAAACATTAATGAAAATTCTTATCTAGTACTACAGCTAATTGCCGACATATTATATCGTCATAATTTTTCTTTGAACTACAGAGAAATTAAATAAACATGGATTAATTTTGTGAAATATGGACCTCACAATATACAATAAGTTCTTACCTTATGTGAATGGTGTTTTCCTCTAGACCAAATAATGTATCTCGATCTATGTCAACATGCATCTTAACTATCTTCTTCTTGCAACTTAGATGTACATCGAACATTGTTGACAAATCGACGTCATCATGGACACGTACAAACAATTCTTCTGTATATGGGACTTCATAAGTCAGCTTCACTGGGCTTGAAAAAAAAGCAATTCTACTTTGCACCTCGGCCACTAAATTACTGAAAGTCCCCTTGATATTCATTGGAATCAAATGATTGTTTCCTCTAAAGTCCATAATTGCACAATATAGCTCTTCTTCCATTACTGAAATTCATAAAAAATAAAATAAGTGGGGAACTAACTAACAATCAAATATTACCAAACAAACACAAGTCTAACATGCATTTTCTTATTGTATACGATATAATTCAACATCGGCATTCAATATGCAATTCTCTATATTTCTATACAATATAATTCAATATTCATTCCTAAATATTCAAAGACCACATTTTTCTACATTCTATAGAAATGAGGAACAAATGATTTTTATTTTGTGAATCAAATAAAGAAAATATAGAACGGGTACATTGCTTAGCTTTTCATAGTACTTTTTAAAGAAAGTATATCACTTTCCTAACTCTCACTACAAATGATGTAATCAACAGAATTAGGGTTTTCTCATGAGAAAATAGTAGTCTCAACATGATAAAGGTTTTCTCATTTAAAAATTTAGACATTTCAACAAATCAAGATATAAAGATGGGATCTCAATCACTTTATAGTTACCTTTAAATGTCTTCTTTTACTGCAAGAAACGAACATGAGATCTCAACCACTGATCTGATGTAGGATTAATGTCTTCTATGAAGAGAAATATTAATGGAGGAGAGAGATTTCTCAAGAAGAGAGGAGAAATTAATGGAGGAGAGAGAGAAGGAGAGAGTAATTGAAGATGGGGACCAAATTGGGGGTTTGTGAAGAGTGAGTGTAGCCCGCCCTTTTCTCCCGCCATTGTCGCCATTAATGCCTACTGTTGACGGTGATGAGAAGAAGAGAGAAAGGGCAAAGTCGGGTTTCTTTATTTTGGGGAAAATACAGTATAGAGATAGAGAGGTATAAGGAGCATTGGGTTTAAAACTAAGCCAAATGGGTATAATGGGTTTATTGATGTTCAGTAAAGTGGATGAGATTTAAAATAATTGGGGGTAAAACTTTGGGTTAAAAGAGGATTTTCCCAAATAAATAATGGTGATGAAAGACTTGTCTTCGCACAACTGTGAACTTTCCACCAGAGAAGGGAACATCGCGGAGAAGACATGACTTGTCTTGTCACCAATTTTAGCTTCCAGTCCAGGGAAGGAAACATCGCCGCATGTGCCGCTCTACCCCACTACGGAGACCACCTCTTTCGACCATTCAAACCTCTCTCCATAAAAAAATAAAAAATAACACTCGCCCCCATGTCTTCAAGAATCGCTCAAACCTCAAAAGAACCTTTAAAAAATGGTACTTCAGAATCTTTTATGGTTTAATAATCCAAGATTATAGGTCTAACCTCCCTCCTAATCTTCCATCTCCTCTTCCTCCATTCAGCCGCTGACTACCCCATCCTCCAACCCATAAAGGCAAACTGCACGGGCCTGTCCTACACCCAAAACAGCCCCTTCGCCACCAGCCTCGCCGCCGTCCTCTCCTCCCTCACCGCCAAGTCGTCGTCATCCAACTCCGCCGTCTCCAACGTTACAACCAGAAGCAGTTCGGACCATGTATACGGTCTTTTCATGTGCCAAGGCGACCTTGCCGGGTCAGACTGCCAGACATGTGTCAGGGCTGCTGCCACTGCGATCACCAACAACAGCTGTCCAACATCACGCCAGGCCGTCATCTGGTATGATAGCTGCGAACTCCGTTTACTCCGACTTCAACTTCTTCGGCATCCCCGACACAGCTGGATTCAACATGAGCAATCCCAGCCAAAAGACGAGCTCTCGAGAGCCGTTTGCAGTTGTGGCTGACCTCGTGAAGTCCTCACCACTCAACAAACCGCTAATGTTTGCCTCGAAGGCGTTGGTGAACGACGACGACAGTATTTATGCGCTCGCTCAGTGCAGTGATGACCTTAGCGTCGATGGTTGCAGAGAGTGCCTGACAACGATATTGGCTGATATCAAGAATTGCTGCACGCAATGGAGGGGGTGGCGGTACTTGGCGACTAGCTGCTGGGTGAGGTACGAGTACACACCTTTCCTTAAAAACTTGAATGGAACTCCCACAGTGATCACTCAATATAGCTGTTCAGACTCCACTTTCCCATCAAATAGTCTTGCAATAGTCGAATCAAATCTCAACAATCTTCTGCAAATTCTGACAACCAATGCTCAGACGAGCGGTTTCTATAACACCACTGTTGGAGAGAACAAAGACCAGCTCTACGGCCTAGCCCTCTGCCGGGGGGACCTCATCCCACCCAGTAACGATTGCAATAATAGGAGACTGCCCGAATAACACACAAGGGATCAAATGGTACGGGAAATGCCTCATGAGATATTCCAACAGCAACTTCTTCGGGGTGGTGGATTTGGCTGGGCAGACTCTATCAAGCTGCCAGTGATGACACGATCAAGTTTGCTAGGGGCCTCGTGGAGCAAGCCTCGAATAATCCACTGATGGTTGCCGGTGGAGAAGAGCCAGTTACCAGTGATCAGTCGTCGGGCTATGTTTTGTTGCAGTGCACAAGAGATCTTAATAGTGAAGGCTGCAAGAACTGCTTAGAATTCGGGTTGAGCCAAGTTGGTGCTAATTGCAAACCAACTAACGGGTGGCAGTATCTATCAGGAAGCTGCACGCTGAGGTACGAGGTTTTTCCCTTCTTCAACACTTCGGCAATATCAACTCCTGGATCTCCACCGATAGCTTCTCCACAGGGCGAAGAAGGTTTGCGTCTTTTCCGTTAGTCAAACCTGATATTTTATTTGGAACTTTACAAAATAAAATAAAGAACGGATAAAGGGAATATTAATCCTTTAAAAGTTACAAGTGCGACACTCAAGGAACAGCTTTTCACAACATAACTAGTTTAGCTGTGCTCAGCTACCAAAATGGCATTTACACAATAAATAAAATTTATACACCTAGATCCATTATAACCTGCATGTTTTGAAGGTCCCCTACATAGAAACAAGGGTTGGTTGCGAATCGACAACTGTAGTACCACTCAATCGCAAAGAGCTTCCATGTAGTTCTATTTGTTGTTAATAGAACCCCTGTAGTTATACTTGTTGCAAATAGACCCCTCGAGTGAATTTTTTTTACTCTTAAATAGTGAAAAATGTTTAAGGAGGTGGATAGACCCCTATAGTTCTATTGGTAAGGATAGGCATCTAATTTCTCATTTTTTTGACTTAAAAAAGATAAAAAATTCACTAAGGGGGTGTGCTCGCACTTGGCCCAAATATTATAGAGGTCTATTCACAACAAGTAGAACTATAAGGGGTCTATTCGCAACAAATAGACATACAAGGGGTCTCTTTACAGTTGGGTGATACTATAGGGGTCTGTTCGCAATTAATTCATAGTAAATAATAAAATTTGAAGACCTATCATCCAACACACCATAAGGTGGAATATGGAGCCTTCTTTCGTCGACAATCTACTAGAAAACAACCACAACAACAACAAAGTTTTTACCCTAAATTTTTGTTGGCAGCTACATGAATGCTACTCTTCCATTCAGTTCTATTTTTGGGTCATCTACTGTGTTAAGTGTTATCATATCCTTCTTAATTGCTTCCAACCAATTTCTTTTAGGTCTACAATCTAACTAGAAAAATCTCATTATCTATGAACTAGAAGCTTCCGACCACATGACTTTTTAGTTATAAATTCTTTGAGGCATGTAGCATATTGAATGGAACAGAGTGTCCATTGAGCTACCTAAATTCATGAATCCCTGAGTGCTTTCGGTTATATAATTGAAACACCACTTACAGAAACTTTCAAAATGTGTGATATATATTTATAGAACTTTCAGATTTTGTACATGTAAAATTAATGAAGTGGACTATCCAATTGCATTACACACTGCATCGGTAGTGTTAGACCCTAGAGGGGGGTGATTAGGGTCTTATGCTAATCTAATCCGATTAAATGCCAATTAAAATTAATTAACAAGTTATCCTAGCAATATGAAATACAACAAGATATGTGAGCTAGGATAAGCAATGTGAACAACAAGATATATCCTAGCAAGAGATATAGGCAATGTATATGCAAGGATATAAAACTAACACAATGTGATATATCCTATCAAATAGATATACAATATGATATATGCAAGGATATGTAACTAAGGGTGATATAAACATAAACAAGATAGTGGATCATATAAATAATGAGCTATGGACAATGGCGATATAAGATATGAACATAAATATAAATGAACGCCAAAGCACACTCAAACAAGCAATATGATCACGGAGTTCGGACCTTCCGTCCTACGTCTCCGCTCCCCACTCCCGGGGAGAAATCCACTAACACAATCCGGTTTGGAAGCCGGAACTTCTTCTACACACTCGGTTTTCTAGCTAACCGAAAACTCTACAACACACACTCTTGCAATCACACTCTACACCCACTAAGTGTTGGACCTAGCCGTGTCTCCCTCAAGTGCTCGGTTACAACCTCTCCCTAGGCACGTCAACCGACGCCACTCCTCTTGGGACGATCCCCGACTCTCACCACACACTCCTCACTCGGTGTACAAGTGTATTACAAAGTGATTCTCACAATAAGCACAAATATGACAAATGATTGTTCTCAAAACAAGGTGAGAACTCAATTAAGCACAACTCTTAGTCACAAACCCACAACCCCAAATTATACTATGAATGTAAATACAATAAGCTCAATAGGTTGTGTGTGAACAAAGAGATATAAATCAAAACTAAACTCAATGTAGTTCTAGCTTAATAACAATGATAATCAAATATATAAAAAAGCTAGAAATAGAGTTTAGAAAACTTCTCAATATATCAAGAGTTGGAGGGAGAATAGTTGAATGCCCAAACACCAATAGATGATCTCCTCAAGCTCTTGTAGAATTGAATCACAAAAACAAACTCTCAATTTGCTTAAAAGCTTTTTAAACACACTTAAACCAAACTAAAACCCTTGTTAAAAACTTTATTAAACTTGATTAAAAACTCTCTTAGTTAACTTGAAAAGACATCAGCAATGGGGTATATATACCCACTCAAAGCTCAGCCAAAAACACCCAAAACAAAAGACCAAAAGACCCAGCCAACGGTACAAAAACTAGCC